GGTCCCATCACCTCTAGTGCTGGGCCATACACAGCACGATAACCCACTCTGTTAGCTGAAGTGGCAGAGGCACTTTAGCATGGATCTAAAAGTTCCAAACCTGCTGCTGATCCATGTGGGTGTCAGTATGATGGCACACGATGGAATGTCTGCTTTTTCAGTTTGCTTTTTTAAAAAACCTGGGAAATTACACTAAAAACCCACTACATTACAAGAGCATTATTAAAGTTAAAAAGTCAAGCAACCAAAAGTTAGGAAATGCCAGAACTAAGGTTGCTTATCCAATCTTAATTTGACCCCCTTTTACATATGCATTATGATACAGTCTTTAATTACACAATTATATACAATTTTTTCTAGAGGAAAAAAATCTACATCTATCTTCCTGAAAGGTATGAACATATCAACAAACTATAGCAAAAGGATACATCAACATGAAAAGCTCCCACCTAAACGTTTATAGAAAGTAAACTGAAGACATTTTTAAAATGAAGACTACTGATCTTACAGAAAGGTTGTTTATGTCGTTTTTAACAGATGTATATTAAAAATTACAACAGCTATGTGTACTGTATAGAAGCATCCAGATTCTGTTGGACTTGCACTTCATACAACCTTTCTGCATTCACTGGGGTTCACGGGCAGCCACTCAAGTGTTTTTAAGCACAAGTTTTTTTCAAAAACTGTATTTTAAACAAGAGTCTGCATTACAAACTGTCCAAGGTCTACAGTGCAAAATACAAGCCAAGTCCTTGATCCAGAAATCCCCAAAAGTGGATCTCTGTGTGGACCCAATTGAAGGATAGGGACTGAGGGTGAAATCCTGGCCTGGTTAAATACAATGGCCAAACTCCCATGGACTTATATGGGGACAAGATATCTACCCTAACTTTGACGATAAACTACATAAGAGGCAAAGATGACAAGCGCGCTCCTACCCTTTCTTGCTTTGCCAGTTAATTTTTATTAGCTCTGTGTTTTTCAAAAATATATGTGTAGTAGGTCACTCTATTAGACTTGGGTATATAATCATAAATAACTCAGTATATTAAATTGTGTGGATTTTTTCACATCACGCAACATCACACATTTTTTGCTTTTCATGACCCTTGATGTATGTTGGAGGACGCAAAGCTTTTCAGATAATAACAGAACACACAGCTCTTTGTGAGGAATGAACAGAGAGAGAATTTCTCAGTTACCTTAAGGACAATATCAGGGGGTAGCCGTGTTAATCTGTATCCACAAAAACAACAAGGAGTCGGGTGGCACCTTAAAGACTGAAGTCTTTAAGGTGCCACCCGACTCCTTATTGTTCTTAAGGACAATGTATTGCTTTGAGTGCTGGCAGAGAGCCAACACAAAGAATTTTAAAAGTCTTTATCGCTAACATGTTATATCAAAGGGAAATTTTCTACTGCAATTTTTGCTAAGTCTGAGCATGGTAGCTACTTGAGAAATGATGGCAGAACAGTAACACTAGGTCATAGGTGGAATACATCTGTAGCCGTTCTTATGATGGGCTATGTCACCTTGAGAGTGAGCACTTGAGATAAGAAATTACAAAGTGTAACTGCAAAGACTACAGCTTGCTGATTAGCTGCTAGCTGGAGCATAGAAGGAAGCCAGAAACACATACTTTTCTTAAAGGAATAAAGGGATGGAAATGAAGAAACAAAGGGATGGAACAGACAACTAAACAGGTCCTCTGTGTAAGATACCTAGATAGTCCCCATCACTGTAGTATCTGATCAGCTCTCATCTTTAATGTATTTATCCTTGCAACAACCCTGTCGGTAGGGAAGTGCTATTTTTCCCATTTTACAGATGGGGAACTAAGGCACAGAGAGGCTAGGTGACTTACCCATGCTCATACAGTTAGTCTGTGGTAGAGCAGGGAACCCAACCTGGGTTTCCAGAGCCCCAGGCTAGGGCCCTAATCACTGGACGTCCCATCTCTCCTTCTTTTGCCTCTGGTTAGCTTGTATGAGTCTATCAGTCAGGATGTTCCACCCACTCCATAGACCTGCCAGAGCCTACTTCTATTCTTGTCTTGCTTACTGCTGATTAATAAGATCATTGTGTGCCTTATCAAAATACCCCGTGTGGTTACAGTCTCCTTGAGGCTTCTCCATCTCTGGCCCAGCCCTTTCACTGGTGACACAACCCGCAGAGGCAACTGTCAATCAACAAATAACTAAAACCTCCAAGAAAAAATATTTTCACCTTTGTTGTGAGCAGGATTTTCAATAATAGTAAATACCTAGCTCTTATATAGCACTCTTCATCCATATATCTCAAAGCACTTTACAAAGGAGGTGTGTATCATTGTTCCACTTTTATCATGGGGGAAGCTGAGTGCTTGTGGTTGGTATAATTCTGCTCTTGTTAAAATCATTGGAAATTTTACCATTGACTTCAAAGGGAGTAGAGTAGACCAATGCTGAGTGCATTTGAAAATCTCACTCGATATATTTATATATCTCATAAAAATATTTTTGGAAGCCATGGAACTGCTTTGGCCTTCCATTCTACACCTTCTGCTTGCTCTAAAACACTGGTATCACACCTTAGATTCAGATAACTCTATTGCCATATTTAATTGCGTCGCATAATTGCAAAAGCATACACGCACTCGTGCATGAGCCCTGGTTGCACATTGGGATTTCCAAGCACACGTACCTTGTTGTGCGTGCACTGACGACATCCTGAGCACACTTTTAAAAATTTGGGACAATATTTGACTGGACTTGAAGTTTATAGTGAAAATTACGGCCTTGCAGGTTAAAAAAATGATCGATAGATACAACAATTGAAGCTACATCTTAAGGGCATGATTGTCTATTGGCGACTGTGGGACAGAATCTGTCTCCTGCCCCTCAGGCCTTATCATTTGCTCTAGAAGAATATAGGACCTGTGCTCCAAGAGACCAGGGGAAAATTCTCCCAGCACTTGCAAGCCTTGTTGCAGGGGGTGTTTCAGGGTAGGAGGGATAAGGTAGACTGGGATGGGGAATCTTCCTAGTCCATGCTGCTATGGAGATTCTGGGAATTCGCTAGACTTTGGGAGGCTGCTGTAAATTAGAATCACCCCCAGGGTTGCTCTAATTTAAGGTGGAGGGATTTTGGCCCACAGATGAGCCCAGAATCCAGAAGGCACAAAGATGCCACTTTTGCTCCCAATTCCCCTGAGCTGTGCCTTTGTACTGGGCATCTTGGGGGCTTAGCACAGAATCTCAGCTCATTCTTCTACCCTATGAGCAATGGCTTTCTCTATTCACTAAAACTCTCGTGTATGCGTTATAACACCCTTAAAAAAACCTTTTCCTCCCTCAAAAACTCTGCATCATCGGTTGCCATGTGCTCAGTCTTCCCTATATTAGCTCATAGGGCCTTATGATCCTGCTTCAGCCAACAGCAGAATTCCAGCTGGGAAAACAAAAACTGTCTTGGAATAATGTATGCAAAAGACTTCTTCACTATCTATAAAGGATGGCCTTGCATCCCTTTAAAGCATTCATTTTTGCTGAGGACACTGTTTGGCACAACTTCAAGCCTCAGGGAATGTTTGAAGCTATTTTTATTGATTCATTTTCATGAACTTTTACTTTATTTTACAATTAATTTTGCTTCCGAGAATATCATAAGTCTAAAAAGCAGCAGAAAAAAAGAGGAAATCTGATTCAAATGATGAAATGAGTGTGGAATATTCTGTGCTGAGGTTATTAAGCAGGGTGAGCGAGAGAGCTGTTTCCTCACAGCCATATTACCCTTCATCATTTGCTGATTTACACTCCCATCCAACCTTCACATTGACTCCTAACATCCGCAAAACATATGCAAAGATCAAAATAATAAATAAGATTAGAAAATCCCATTTCCTATTAAAGGTATGCCCTTCTAAAATAGCATGACACCGTCAGGTGTCACATTACCCACTACGAAAAAGCTGTGTTAGTTGCTAAACAACATTGTTAAAAATACAACATTGCAAGGCGTACACACACAGAAATACGTGATATAGGCCACCCACTTCGTAACATCAAAGAGATCAACCAGTCACATAAACATTCTTTGGCTCTACCAAAAGATTACATTATGAGAAAACTTAGAAGTCTGACATAACTTAATGTACCTTAATATTCCTTTTGAGACCTTCAGTAAACACATAAACACATGGGCTGGCCAGAAAACAACACTTCCATTTTGCAAAAAAATGTGGGTGTTTTGCAATTTTTTCTGAAGCGGAATGAAACTTTTGAAGTTTTGCATGACAAAAAACAGGGAGGGGGGAAGAGAGAGACACCTACAGAATAGTCAGCAGTCTGGTGGTTATGATACTCACCTGGGATGTGGGAGACCTAGGTCAAATCGCTGCTCTGAATCAAGGCAGAATTTCCAAGCCACCAACCTATTCTGGCATGGTGGGCCTCTCTCTAAATTCCATCCTGGCCCTGAGCGTGTAAGGCTCGACTGTTGGTTTATAATCTGCCCCGAGCAAGAATCAGTGCATACCTGTACAACTGCAGGAGTAGACCAGACTATCCCTGATCGCTCCCTTGCTCCACAGTGGAAGCAGCAGGTTTACACTCCCTTCAGTGCTCCCTCAGCTCTGCTGGCTGGAGTGTTCGGGTTGGTGAGGAGGGAATTTGGCTTCACCCATTTCTGGATAGGAGGGAGAGCATGGAGGCTACTCTCTTTCCCACCTCCCTGTGATGCTGGTAGCCCAAGCAAGTGAGTAAGAGTGAGTTTTACATGTGGTGTTTGACTAGTTTATTCGTGTGGTTTCAGGCCCAAGTCACCATCTATCATTGGCCACAGTTTTGTTTTCACTGAACACAGAATGCACCCTGTGGACCTGGATAAATTAAGACTCAGAACTGGAGTCTGGGAAGGGAAGTACAGGACAAAATGCAACATAATTAATAACAATACACAATTTCCACTAATGACTGAGACAGCCTCAAAGAAAAGTGTAAGCCATGAGTCTTTACACTTACCAGCTTAATATGTTCTCGCTTCTGATACTTTTCACTATAATACTGTTCTTGTCGGAGATTGAGCAGCTGCTGTTGTTGCTTTTCCTTCAGTTCTATTAACTTCTGGGTCATTTCTGAGTCAAGGGCAGCCAGTTCTTGTTCAATAGTTGAACTGTGATCCGGGCTGCCAGTTTCACATCTGCAAAGACACATGGAATACTGATAACTCATTCAATAGGTACAGTTAGTACAATTCCTATTTCTTTCTTTCTTTTTTTTTTTTAAGCAATTGTCTAAAGTAGTAGCTGTAGCCCATCAAGAATGCATAAGTCTCTCAGAGCTGTATATTCTTACTAGTGCTATTATACGATCTACTGCACACTTAAAATGACTGGCTGGTTTCATCACTGATTTGTATTTTCTCTACAAAATGAGTGTAAAACATGTAATATTTTGGTGGTGGTGGTTATAGTGGTTAAACTCAATTTGCACAAGGTGCATTGCCGTGGAGAATCAGGATCAATATAAATAAGTCATAAACATAATCACCAATATTTCCCCAAACTCGGCGTAAGTTCACATTTATGTACCTAAATAAGTGGCTTGATTTTCAAAATAGCCCAGCCCTCAATGAGAATAATGGGAGCTCTTGGGTGCTGAGCCATTTTGAAAATCAAGTCACCTATTTAGATCCCTAAATGGGGATTTAGGAACCTAACCTGACGCTTGCATTTAGAAAAAGCATGGCCAGTGTTTATTCAGGAGCTAGGAACATTCCTATATCTGCTAACTTACAGTGAATGTGTGTGCATTTGTGTGGAAGTATTTTATGAACTGCAGAACTGTGGACTTCTGTGAAAATGAAAACTAGCAGAGGATTAAGGAGACTGAGTAAGGGAGCACACAGAAGCAAAGGAAAACTTAAAAAAAGAATCTAAAACCCAAATTCCCTCAGAAGCAGAATGAGATTTTGGTCTTGGGAAAGAAAGGTAAACGAACAAGGGCAGGGAAAGGGATTGATGAGGGAGCATGTGCATGTGAGAGTGAGATAAACAGTGCATAAAGTTAAAGGATTAAGGTAAAATAATAACTATCTAACAAAAAAAAATTAAACATGTAAGAATATGCCCTGATCCATATTCCTATATGTTTACTGCTCTATTCTAGGCATTAAGTTAGTTGCCTAGGAAACATCAAGAATACAATTAGCATTGTCAGTTTATAGTGATGTGGAAAAGGGCCAGAGTTCAGCCTAGGATAGAGTTCTTGCTTCAGATAGACGGAATTATAAAGCCCTGAAGAGAGAGCACAATTTGTAGGAACACATGGGTCAGCCACTCAGAAATTCAAATCCAGAAAACCAATTATAATGTAGAGAGCTCTCTACCTTGCCAGTGTGTCATTCTTTCTGTTTGGATGGATACACTGGGCCAGATTCTGAGCTGGTGCAAACTGGAGTAGCTTCACTGAAGCTAATGGAACCATACTGATTTTCACCAGCTGAGGATCTTGACTTTTGTACCTCAATTTTAAGTTTTTACCAGCAATAAAACTCCCCTTTTTCTCTTTCATACTGCATGTTTAATTGTTTGTCCCCCTACTGGGCAGACCTATAAATTCTGCTTTTTGCAATATAAATGCTTATTATAAGCATTGATCATTAAAATACCTGGGTACACACCACCTACGTTAGACTAAAGGGGTGGGGGTGGGGGCGGGGGAGGAAAGATTCCTATATTCCTGTAAATTGAAAATCCCAAGACCCTGCCCACTCACCACCATGACCCTAAAAAACAAAAACAAAAACAAAAACCCAGACTAGGAAGATCTTGCGACTATTCTAAATTAAAGTGAAAACTGAATCAGCAAAAAGTCCAGATAAAGGTGTGTGTGTGTGTCCTACAATGCTTCCTAAATACAGCCATGTTCCAACTCAGATGTATTTATGGTGCAAGAGAATTCAGAAGAGAAGGACCTGCTACTCAGAAAGCCCTCACTCCAGTTCCTCTGAGCCCCGTCCTTGGCACAGGTAGGCAAAACACTGTGGATGAAAATAGGTGTTCCAATGGGGGAGACTTTTGACATGGATTCAAATAAAAAAAACAATCATTGAAATAGCATGAGAAAAGCTATTCTCACAGTATTCCCAGCATGGCCAGTCCAAGAGAATACTGGTATTTTTATGGAAAAGTCTGTTCTTGTGAGATTAGCAGGTCAATTTCCAGACAAAATGCAGGTTTAGCATGCACACTTCATATGAAATCTCTGAATGCCCATAACCCAATTTTCAGCTACAAGGATTGAGGGGCAAGATGAGCAGCACATATTCTAGAAAGAAATGACAGAAATAATGGCACAGCACTGTTTTCCTAGTTCAGGTAGTTTATATTGACAGAACAATTACTTTAGTAAGGAAAATTTAAGGAGGGTTACAACCTTCCTAACCAAGTATCAATCTAATCCTAAAATCAATTTGTGCAATGCCATTGCCTACTAAGCATTAAGTCCAAAGTGTTCAGGACTCAAATGGCAGCACTGGCATTATCACTGAGAAAGGAGAGTCCAATCTAAATATGGAGCTGCAGCCCAGAATAAGGTGGTCATACTTACTAAACTGAGCAATTTATATGATTAGTTTATGTATTTTCAGGATAATACTTCACTCGTGTTGTTGAAAAAATATGGCTTTCTGCTAAACCTCAGCTAAAACTACTAAGACCTTAAGATATTTAACCAACAAGATCACAAAATAAAAAATCTTCATTTATTACATCATTATGACCCCAATGCAGTGGAGCTTCTGTGTAACTTTCAGTATGTGAGTCACTCACACTGACTTCAACTTTACTGAATTAGGGCCCAATTCTACACACAGCTGCAAAACACGGATTGCCCTCTGATCCGGTTATGCACATTTGAGTCAGTTTCTAATACAGGGACTACTGACAAAATAGTAATTTGTATACTGTAGTTGCAGGGAAACAGCTTCAGTAACGATCTAAAATGATATAAACTGCCTTTTTGCTGGGATGTTGTAATCTATTAGAAGTCTTTTGCTTAAGACATTATGTACTTGCAAGTTTGAAAAACCCTAATGATATATTCCTGCCTTTTTAAAATTCAGCATCAGACTTAGTGTAACCTTCAGATTTTCCAATATAAAACTTCTCATCTTTGAAATTATTTTGGCAGCTCAATGTAATAACGGGTAGTTGAATGTTTCATTGCCTGACACTGTGGAAGATCTATGACCACATTCTAATGGAACAGAAATGGCCATCACTGAAAGGTAAATGAGTTATTTATTTGGTTTTGTTATATTGTTGAAGTTTGAATGGAATAAACCAAAGCAAGAAAAATCTTAACGTTGCTGTCTGTAGATTTCTGTCCTGCATGTTGGCATTGGACTATATAGCAGATTACAAATTTCTATGTAACACAGCTGACAAACAGCGCTAAAGAATTTTATTGACTCAAACCTTGGCTGTATTCTGTTTTCAGAATGTCAAATTCTAAGCCACTTAAATATGGGGAGGCTGCTTTAGAAGTACAAAATTCCTGTTAAATTGAATGAGGGTTCTGCTGCTGGACAATCATAAATGGCCAAGTTGCCTTCTGGGAACAATTTGTGGGCTAATTCCCTGCCAGTCACAATCAGAGGTGTTATTATGGAAGTCAGGGGCCAGAAATCACTCTTGGCTTTTTCTCTCTGCTTGTCTCCCAGAGATTTTTTTTTTATGTTCATGGTTTTCATATTTGAAAAGCTATGATGAATTGCAAGTAGTCAATTTTATGAAATAATAAAAAGGACTTAGACTGTAATGGTGCTTATTTGAATTAAATGAGTTGCAGAATGATGCTGTAATGTTTACTACATTTAAATAAATTATAATTAAATGAAAATGCTGTATAATTGCGATGAACAGAAATCTACCAAAAGGCATCCCTGATTAAGCAGATTCAACTGTGGTATTATTAGTATCTAATCCTGCATAAACTTAGGCATGCGAGTAATTATATTTTGTGTAACTGTTTATAGTAGTAGTTGTTTATTAATATATAGTTCATTGCTACATGCACAAAATGAGAGTATTGGAAAGATTTAGTGAGTCACAGTATACTTCCCACATCAAATTGACAGAAATAACTACAATGTCCATGCCCCTTTATTTTCTAACAAACTAAAAAACAAAACAAAACACTTTCACACATACAAAAAAATACAGGGGAATGGAGGATTGAAAAGTAGACAGGGCACAGCAAGGGACTGCATAAAGGGAAGGGGGCGTAACATCTTGCCTAGATCTACTTACAATAAATCAATCGTCACCAAGTGGTCTAGAGAATTCATATTTTAAAATTTATTTGATTACTTTCAGTTGTTAGTCAGTAAATCTATCAGGTGTTAAATTCAAGGAATAGGTCTAATTCTTAGTATTCTTTCCAGGGTTCCAGTTTGGAGGCAGACACAAGTTAAGGATGGCCCCCCTTGCCGCAAATAATAAAACAGGACCAATTTTGATTTTCATGTCTAGGGTTGCACCTTTAGAATTCACACTGTGGGATCTAGAGCCAATTGTTTGCTTGTTTGGGGCCAGATCATGGGTTGTCCTATTTGTCTCTGCAGGGGAGTAAAGGGGCATAAGGTGGTCTCTTATCTCCCCCCGTCCCCCTGTGGACTACATACATGAGTTACAGTGTAAAGGAGAGGGGGCAGCAGCAGTTTCCCTGGGGATACTCCTCCTCCTTCCCTGCAGAAAAGCAGGGAGGCACGGGAAGCATGCGGCACCTTGCAAAGCACATCAGCCAGTGTAGCTGTGCCTACTAGGAGAGGCAAGTCATCTGTGCCAGTAAAGAGCTGATGCAGATTACTTCCTGCCTGCAGCAAGGAGGGAATCAGGGATTGAATTGTGACTCTGTAAGTTGGTCCCTGGTCTACTCTTGCACCTAGGTGCAGCCTCTTACTCAGGGCATGTGGGAACTCCACAATTTACAAAAGAATTAGGGTGGCCATATTTCCCAAAGGGAAAATGGGACACCGCACATGGCTGGCCCAAGGGCCTCTCCTCCCGTACTCTCCCCTCACCCCGTGGAGGCTGTACTGAACCGCTCGTCTGAGCCCTGCCTCCTCCTCCCTCTCCCCTACTCCTGCGCAAGGCTATCACTGGTCGTTAGTCCCCCTCCGCCCCTGCCACTATCCCTGGTCACTCCAGCCCTGCCTCTCCCCCTGCACCGGGCTGGCATCGCCCCTTGCCCCTCCACATGTTCCTCTGCACTGCACCATACTTTTGTGACAAAAGTTGGCAAGAGCAAAGGGGATAAATGCCCACTTTTGCAAAAAAAAAAAAAGGGACGGCAGGGCAGGGCTTAAGAAAGGGGCTGTCCCGCGCAAAACAGGATGTATGGTCTCCCGAAAAAGAATGGATTATCAGAACAGCTGAATCACATGAGATCACCATACAGATGAAAGTGGGTTTCTCAATACACAAACAGTGTGTTCCCCTGTTGTACAGGGAAGGTGATATATACAAGCAATCTACCATGTAAATTGGGACGGTCTTCTTGGGTTGCGAGTAGAGAAGAAATGCATCACAAAGGGGGCTTCCGTCCACTTTTGCAGGGTCCACCTTTATTTCAAGATCCCTGCCCTCATTCTATGAATGTCAGGGCCTTTGTTTTTCATCTGTACTCTAGTGCTATCTCCACATACTTGTTATGTTACCAATTATGAGTAAATGGATAAAGATCTTTTTTTAAGATTAAAGGAGAGGAAGCTCCAGTTAACATACCTTTTCTTAGTATCCCTTTTTGTGGTTTTCTCTAAGACTGCCCTGCGTCGCAGGTAGTCGTTCTGAATTTCGTTGTATTTTGCAGTGTGCTCTTTGATCAGATCAGTGGTTTTCTTGTGGTGTTTCTTTACAAGGTCCTTCATTTCTTTGTAGTGCTTCTTCTGAAGTTTAACAAATGACTTCTGTTGTTTTAGCTCCTCAATGGTCTGTGCTTCCACTTCTGCAACAATAATAATGGAAAATGCATCATTTTTCTCTGATTGAAATGATATATTAGTCGGACATTCAAATTCTGATCAGCAGGACATGGAACCAAGGGCTTTTGTTTACTATTGATAAACAACTTTTATTGGCTTGAGATAAATCAAGGGCTTTCAATGACAGCAACCAACTTTATCTGGAAATAAACGAATAAGGCTGAAAATATTGTAGTAAGTGTAATCAATTAATGTCTAGGTAGTTAAGTGATAAGTTCAGAATCATCACATTTTGCAAGACAAATATACACTATTTTATCTTTCCTTCAATCCCTTTCAGATGCAGAGGACTCCCACCACCAGCCCAAGACAAACCAAACCACAGTCCTCTCCTGTGTTTCCCCAACACACCAGAAACATATCACTGTGGACAAATATCCCTCAGACAGCAGAGGACAAGACAAAACCATTCTGGGGTTAGAGGAGCTGCTTCAGAATATCCCTAGTACAAGCTGCCATTGCCCAGGCACTGACAGACGGTTACTGTAAGAACATCAGACCAGTCTGGCTGGAGTAATGGGGCAGTCCCAGTTCTAAAAACATTATGCAGATAGACTTTATTCTTGTTTCCTTTACATTTCCATTGGCTCATTTTCCCTTAAAGAGGTCCTCCCACTTAGACAGAGATTGACCAGTTTCTCACATTTATCTGCTATGGATGATTTCTCAGCAGTTTATCAGGCAAATATGTGTTGTATTTTAAAACACAAGGAAAGACGGATCTATTTTTATTCTTTAATTGTCCATCCAGTAAGGAAACATCATCTAAAATAGACCTAATGAAGAGATGCTGAAAAAAACAGTCAAGTAAATCTACACATCTCTTCTGGATCCAAAAACTGGCTGAGGCTGGTTATACTTGACACTGTTCGTAGTCTAAATTACAATGGGTCATGCTAACATGTTCAGGTTGGAGAGTTCCATCCTATGTTGTGTTTGTCTTATGTTCAGTTTGTATGTGTGTGATGGTCGCCATCTTGGCTGACACACCAGGGATTAAACCAGGGACCGCCAGAGCTAAAAAAAAAAAAACACGAGCAGCTGCAGCTTGAAGTAAAGCTATACAGCTGTGGGCTGTAACAATTCATATTCCTCTGAGGATTGGGAGACCAGTAACACACACTCACCGACAGGTTACACGTGTTCTTTGGGAAATGGAGATTAACAAGAGGAAATGGGAGATGTTACCTCACAAAAATCCTTATGGAAAAGAAGCCAAAGCTCTGGATGGGCCTCCAATTATGAAATTTTAAACAGTGCAAGCCACTGTATTTAACTGAAATCCAAAGATAATGTCAAATCCAGTTCTGTCCTAAGGTACAATGCAGTCCATGGGTAAATACTGTTAACTATTCCTTTCCCACTCCCTTCTCTAGGCAACAGTTTGGTCTGCATAAGGACACATTTTCATACCAGTACACAAAGCTTTAGCTGTGCAACACTTTGACAAGTTACTTCTATTTTCAGTTGAATGTCCAGGAGGATTGCAAAACTAAAGCTCCATGGACCACATTGAAAATATACCTCTTACTACAGCAGAATCAATGCATTCTTCAAAGAAGTTGAACTGAAGGGCTTCTCAGTTTTGGAAGTGGAGAATGGACTTGATGTCCTCAAGAAGCTAAGCCAGCAATGACATTCAACGAGGTACGATGAAATACAAGTGGTATATCTTATTCTTAGGAGTTATGCCATTGACTTCAGCAAGTCTAGATGACACGGTGGTCATAATACTGGTACCTTCTTTGCATTCAGACTCCGAATACTCCCACCATTACCGGCACGGGTGGCAGTGCAACAGAGGGAGATACTAAGAAAAAGCTCCCTGTAGGGACCCGATCCTACTCTCGTTGTAGTCAAAGGGGCGTTTGCCATTCAAAGATGCAGGATTATGTCCTGAGGGCACAAGTCGTGGTATGTACATTTGCCACAAAGTTCTTTCAGAATAATCAGACAATGAAAAGTCTAAACCAGGTAGCCTATTTTACGAAATGTACGTATCCCTGGACAAAACCGTAAAATTTATTCAGAGTATGCTACTGCATAACACCCGTATATTTATTACCTGTTAGGACACTCTGAATAAGATCTTCTGTTTTTGCAGGTGCTTTCACAGAACCTGGAAGTAAAAGATATTATTGATATCAATTCTTTTTAAAAACAAGAAACACGTGTTGCCCTTACAAAATGTATATATATTCTATATCATTATTGCAGTTGACATAGCATATACAGTTGTGTAAACATTCTGAATAATGTGAGAAAATATATCTTTCAGATACCCTTTACACTGCCAAGATGTAGCAACATGGAGGTGTATCCCAGTTCATAGATTATGTATTAATTATATTGATTACTTCAGAATTCCAGTTATCACTTTGACAGTTGACAGGTTCTTGTCCCAAGATCAGGCTCAGTATTAACATTACTGTAGATGTGGAAACCTCGATGTGCACAGTTGCAACACTCACACTATAGGAAAACTTCTGTATTTACAATAGTTTATCAATACATTTAGCAAAGTCACGAACACTCCAACTCAGTAAGGTAGATGGAGATAATACAAAATGTCCTTCTGCACATCCATATACTCACACCATCCCTTGCAGAACAACCTAAAATGTTAGCCATTATCTTCCTCCTCATCATCACCTTCCTCCTCATCATCAGTGGCCATCATCCTGGCATCTCCCAAGGGCTACACCTCCCTCTCCTATTGCCCGCAGGCTGGGATACAACTTTTAGAATATGTTATGCTGACACCACTCTGCCCAATGCACATTCAGAAGGGGTTTCTCCCCTCTTCCTTATTTGTATTTCCTCACCATACTAATGTTGAGGTGCCCTTCTCCTATAGGTTAGTATACTAATGATCTCCATTTATTATGATATATGTCAATTCGTTGCCAGGGCATTCTTGTGGTCAGACATCTGCAGATGTTAGCTCATGTTCACGTAGTTATGGTAAATTCTGACAAAATTTCCCCTTAAACACTTTATTCTCAGTTCTCCAGAACTTGGGGGTTACCATTGGGTCATTTATCTGTGCCAAAGTTCATAGGCCTCAAGCCTTAAATTAAGTGCTGAGGCTAATGTCTTACAGGATACAGGCCTGTAGGTTTCTTGCGTGACTGCTGAATATCATAAAGGTGGAATATAATGAAAGCAAGGCCGTGAAGATAATAAAGGCAAACTAGCCCTATGGTCTACAGAGGCAACGCTTGTATCAACACCAAACAACACAACACAAAATAAAACACCCTAGCCTCCTCACTTTTCTTATGGAAGGGATGCTAGTGAACTCAGTGGGACCAATCATGTGAGTAAGGTAAACAGGATTTGGCTCATGGTTAATACAACACTGGTACTTTAAGTGACAGTTCAAAATTGCTTTAAAAGGGTCTGATATAACTCCTCTGAAGTCTGTGGAAGTTGGATCGGGCCGATGATGAACAATCAATAATTAAATTGGAAATAATGCAGTTTTAGAATTCATATTAAAATAGATATATCTATACACATGTACACAGGCCTCCATTTTCAATGAATGAATTTAAAGTGTACAGTAAAAGGTAAATGCATGCACAAATAACTGAAAATATTTTTGTAAAAGCAGTTTAAGGGTCTACCACCCTTGGACATAACGACCTTGCCCATAATGGAACACTCAGCTGCACAATTGCAGAATACTTCGTAATTTTCAAAACTCAGAAAAAATGTCTATGCTTGCATCTGTGCCCCCATGTTCATTAAAATACATGCCCTCTCCTATTTACATCTTCCTTTGTGCGGGCAAATTGCTTCTCAAGTAGCATAGGCCAATGGCCGAACCAATAAAAGTATTGAGATGATGGGGCAATTGTTTTGGAGGACCTGAGACAGGAGTAAAAATGTACATTTACCAGGATAAAGTGCATGGGGTTATGATTATTTATTTAGCATTAATAATGTGCTTGTGCTGTATTAATATATGAAAATGAAGACAGCCCTAAAGACATGGCAATTTAGGAGACAGAGGCATGTAAATATTAAATACCAGAAGATTGGTCACCCTGGAACATCCAGAGGTTGGGATAACAAACTCACCTCTGGAAGAAGTGAGATTTTAGAAAGCATCTGAAGTGAGGGACATGTGTACTTTACTGTAAGACTAGGAGAAGTTCAAAACATACTGCTATTATGCTTATCAACATGGAGCCAAGTGTCAAAAAAATGCTCAGCACACAATATTGGGGTCTGATTTTCTACACAGCTCAGCTTCATGAAGTGGCCAGATTCTTCAGATGTGTTTAGTATTCCATGGCTTCCATTGTTCTCAAGATCTCACTCCACTGACACAATGGGAAGTGCTGGGCACTGCATGTTTAAGTGCTGCACTGGTACTTAAGATTCACAAGCAAATACCAAAGTAATGTTCATACTGGATTCTGCTCATTGCCTCTCGAAAGTTCAAGGAGTCCTTGTCTATGAGTGTGTTTTATTATTATTATTTTATTAGGGCTGTTGATTAATCGCAGTTAACTCACACAATTGTCTGAAAAAATTAATTGTGATTAAAAAAATTAATCGCGATTAATCGCACTGTTAAACAATAGAATACCAATTGAAATTTATTCAATGTTTGTGGGTGTTTTTCTACATTTTCAAATATATTGATTTCTATTACAACACAGAATACAAAGTGTGCGGTGCTCACTTTATATTATTTTTTTTTCCAAATATTTGCACTATAAAAATGATAAACAAAAGAAATAGTATTTTTCAATTCACCTCATACAAGTACTGTAGTGCAATCTCTTTATCGTGAAAGTGTGACTTACAAATGTAGGGTTTTTGTTATATAACTGCACTCAAAAACAAAACAATGTAAAACTTTAGAGCCTACAAGTCCACTTAGTCCTACTTCTTGTTCAGCCAATCACAAAGACAAACAAACTTGTTTACATTTACGGGCAATAATGCTGCCTGCTTCTTATTTACAATGCCCCCTGAAAGTGAAAACAGGCGTTCACATGGCACTTTTGTCACCGGTGGTGCAAGGTATTTATGTGCCAGATATCCTAAACATTTGTATACCCCTTCATGCTTTGGCTGCCAATGGTGGTTGAAGCATGAAGGGACCTATGAATCTTTAGTGCATCTGGCATGTAAATATCTTGTGACACCGGCTACACCGGCTTCACCGGCTACAACAGTGCCATGAAAACACCTGTTCTCACTTTTAGGTGACAGTGTGACAAGAAGTGGGCAGCATTATCTCCTGCAAATGTAAACAAACTTGTTTGTCTGAGTGATTGAGTGAACAAGAAATAGGACTGAGTGGACTTGTAGGCTCTAAAGTTTTACATTGTTTTATTTTTGAGTGAGTTATTTTTTGTACATAATTCTACATTTGTAAGTTCAACTTTCATGATAAAGAGATTGCACTACAGTACTTGTATGAGGTGAATTGAAAAATACTATTTCTTTTGTTTTTTACAGTGCAAGTATGTGTAATAAAAATAAATATAAAGTGAGCACTGTACACTTTGTATTCTGTGTTGTAATTGAAATCAGTATATTTGAAAATGTAGAAAACATCCAAAAATATTTAAATAAATGGTATTCTATTATTAACAGCGCAATTAATCGCAAATAATTTTTTTAATTGCACGATTAATCATGATTAATTTTAATTGTTGCCGTCCTATATTTTATTATTATTATTTATTATTTCTGTCTTCAACTCTTGTATAATCATGACCTGTTTCACTCAAATACTGGATACAGTATGTGAAGCCTATAGGTATCCTTTGGAAAAAGAGACTACTATGCTGTGAAATAAAATAATAATATATGTTACAACAGAGGACAATTTTCCCCTACTCATTTTATATAGGTTTTTTTTTAAATGCAAAGCACACACAGAAAGTGTTATTCGGCCATTTCTTGGTTTTTGCTTTTTAAATAATTAATGTAGGAAAACTGTGTTTAAGTCTCTTACCCGGGACTGGTTGGCTATGGACAACCTGAGTTGCTGGCTTCATTGTCAGAGAAGTGGAGTGACTTAGTCCATTTTCTGCTGGAGTTGGTCTGGGCTCGCTTTTATCTTCTGATGGTGCATCCCCCTGATCAACCTAAAGATACAGAATATTTTACATTACTCTTCCAAATAGGTATATACATAATAAATACACGCAGGGGGAGGGGGAAGGTGTTATTTATTTCCAGTCCAACCTTCATGCCTCTTTTGATTCTGAAATTTCGTACAGGTTTTAAATACACTGCTCTAAAAGAAAAATCTGGACTTAGTAGCTTCAGTTTTCCACTGTATTAATGACAGTTCATTTTTGCAGTTTAACTTTCAGCACATATCTTTCAGAACAATTATTCTGAGTGTACTTTTGTCTTGTATAACCACCGGAAAAAAAAACTGTTAACAGGATATAATTCAGCTGGTGGTTTTCAGCCACAAAACAGACAGGTAATTTACTCATTGATAATATGTATTAGTTAGCAATATCAGAGGTGAAACTACATGCAATCAGCATTGTGCTGCATCATAAAACCCTTCTAGAAGTAAGCAGAAGGTAGCAGGAAAATACCATTCAGATCCTTATTATGAACAAAATATGTGTATAGAAGGGCTGCTAAATTTCATAGCTAATTTTACTAGATACACATGACAGTGTAATTATTCACCACCTCTCAAGACACGCACACATACTTCTTATCCCCAGGATATAATAGTGTCATATTTACACTCAACAGAGAGCATATAAACAGTACCTCCATCCTGCTGAACTCTACATAAACGTGTCTCTGGTATCCAACTCATCTAAGCATTTTCCACAGCCGTTTTTTCCCTCCTTGCCAGTTCCCTTATGAACACCTTACAGTTACTCTTGTGGATGTCAGGTTTATAAAGACATACAAACACTCCATGCTCAGGGAGGAAGAGGAGGGGGACTCACAGCATTGGTAAGGTATTTGGATTTTGAGACAGCCAAAAAGAGTATGAAGAACTGGTTGCCATGGCACCAGCTGAATACAGTCCTGGCTTGTTCCTCAGGCTGCTTCTGTTTCACTCTTGGAGGAAAATCAAATTACAGGCAGAAGCAGGAGACAGCTCTCAGAATATCCGTCTGCCACTCTATCAAGAGGCAACACAGGTTCTGGTATAATTGTTTTACGCTAATTACATTGCCAGTTTACTGCAATCTGGCTCAACAGTCATATAACTTAACACTTTGTGTATTGTGAAGGGATCTCTGTCTCAACAACTTAATTCTAACGCAGCTATACAATGGGATACAAGGATACCACCACCATTGTGTCTATCAGGAGATTCAATCTATTCCAACCACTTCATTTATCTCATGCATAAGCAAAACATGATCTGAACAGCGATGTGCACGTCCACTTTCATTCTAGACTGATCCTGTTTTTGGCAGAAGTCTTGGCTGGTTATCTTTTTTTCTCCTTTAAACACTGTTAAAGGAAGTGATGTTCAATAGTTTAATAAAAAGGGCTCTGCTAGTGAGAACTTGGACTGCATGAACGATTAATAAAAATAAAGCTAGACTTACAAGCTCGCATCCCAGCTTGCAAATTCACGCATGGAAAGTTAGGAGCCAATTTTGCGTGTGCAGGTGCACATTTTCTTTTTGGCCACCAGGTTTATATATGCTAATAAAACTCATGTAGCACTGCACCTTGTTTTCAAACAATTAGCATGGCTGTTTAGTTTTGGGCACCGGAGACATTTGTTTCCAGAAACTAAATCACAAACGTGAGACAAGTTCAGGAAGTGAACAAAGAGCCATTTTTTTGTGTGTAACAAGCAATTTAATCTTGTTATAAAGCATGTTCTCTTCTCATAATTCATGACCACCCACAATTCTTAAGTGAATGTGATTTTCCCTTAATGGAGAATATCACAGGCTATCTTTCTTAATACATTATGTATTCCACCCTCATATTTTACAGTTTTAGTAGCGAGGTATAAAAGGAACATTAGTTTACACCCTTTGTTTTCTCATGTCTTTAGTAAGACTGTGCTTACTCAGCAAAGGTTAGTGGTCAGCAGGGAAGAGCAGTCTTATAAAGACACATAGGATTGGATTCTGTTCTACTATACACCAAAAAGTGGCATTGTAGCTATCTTCCACACTAACCACACCTGATGTAAGGAGAAGGGGGGATCATCTCAGAAGATCCCCTATGCCTGACCCGATTATTTCTTGTAAAAGGGATTTTATGCCAGCAGCACCCCTTGTGCTCTGACTTATGACAAGGCTGAGTGACTCCGAATCAGTGAGTCACAATCACCTCCCTGTAGCCACCACTCTACACCCTGTCTAGATGTAGTGGAGATTTCAGGATTACAGTCTTTGTTCACTCACATCGGTGCATGTCAGTAGCAGAGGAGACTTTAGGAAGGATCTGAATGAGGAGAGAGTAGCGGCCGGGGTGTCAACTCAGAATGGGTATTCCACGAGGAGATGGCAATGGACAAAGACACAGAGATAACCGTGAGAAGTGGGCTAACAGGACGTTGAAGTCGGTATCATCGGCAGAATGCCAGTTGTGGGAGTGCGTGAGGGGGCTCTGGGCTGAACCTAGAGCAGGGGGTTGGGGTACAAGAGGGGGCTCAGGGCTCAGGCAGGGGGTTGGTGTGCCAAAGGGGGTTGGTGTGCGGGCTCCGGCTGGGTGGTGCTTACCTTGAGTGGCTCCCAGAAGCAAACGGCATGTCTGGCTCCTAGGCTCAGGGGTGGCCAGGCAGCTCTGCGCGCTGCCCCGGCCAACGGGAGATGCGGAGTTGGCACTCGGGGGAGGGGGTGAGCAGTGCTCAGAGACCCCCTGGCCAGCCCTGCACCTAGGAGCCAGAGGGACGTGCCAGTCACTTCCGGGATCCGCGCGGAACCAGGGCAGGTAGAGAGCCTGCCTTAGCCCTGCTGCGCTGCCAACCAGCCTTTTAGCGGCCTATTAAAATCTCCTGGATTGGTTTCAGTAGCCACAGGGAGATTGATTCCAATTCCGGGAGACTCTTGGCCAATCCGGGAGGGTAGGCAACCCTAACTGTGGCATGGCTGCAGGGAGAACAGCACAGGAGCTAGTTACATGGCTGTACACCTGACAAGGACTTCCTCATGCCCAGGAATCTCCAGCTGGGGACCTGTGAGTGACTTCTGCTCCCTTTGTGCCATATGAGCAAAGGGAATGGAATGGGGCAGATACTCTGTATTTCCATGTCCTCATTCAAGCAAACTTGTGAGACTGTACATAATAAAGAGACAAAGAGGCAAACTGTTGGCCAAGGAACTGTAATGATTATCACTCATTTAATCTTATTTGGGGGAGTGTATTCTTGGTTACAAAAGCGAGTTCAGTTGAGCTTTTATACCTTTGAGAATGGAGGATCCAGGAAACAGGGCAGGAGGCAAAAAAGGGACTGTTTCCCTGCCTTCCAGGAATCAGGACTTAACTGCTTGTACTGAATACTCTTTAACTCATGTGATAGACCTAGAGAATGACACAGGAATTGTATAAAATCTAATGCTGGTATTTTCAAAGCCATTCGGGTGCCCAATTTCTAGTAACATTAATCGGAATTGGGAAGCGAAATTCCACAGATGCTTTTTAAACCTCAACTTAAATAAAACTATAATATGCATTTACCACTGAAAGTAAGTGCATAATTGTCAGAGGCCCCCAGGCATGCACAAAAATACACATATGTCTACATATGTTTGTACAATCACTGCATCTGCACAAGCAAATGTGAGTTTAGTCTTATAAACCCATGGTACGCCCACATCTTGAATACTACGTGCAGCTGTGGTCGCCCCATGTCAAAAATCATACATTGGAATTGAAAAAGGGCAACAAAAGTGATTAGGGGAACAGCTTCTGTATAAGGAGAGATTAATAAGACTTGGACTTTTCAGCTTGGAAAAGAGACGACTAAGAGAGGATATTATAGAGGTCTATAAAATTATGGCTGGTGTGGTGAAAGTAAATAAAGAAGTGCTATTTACTCCAGCTCATAACACCAGAACTAGGGGTCACCAAATGAAATTAATAGGCAGCAGGTTTAAAACAAACAAAAGGAAGTATTTCGTCACACAATGCACAGTCAACCTGTGGAACTGTTTGCCAGAGGATGTTGTGAAGGCCAAGACTATAACAGGGTTCAAAAAAGAACTAGATGAATTCATGGAGGATAGGTCCATCAATGGCTATTAGCCAGGCTGGGCAGGGATGGTGTCCTTAGCCTCTGTTTGCCAGAAACTGGGAATGGGCGACAGGGGATGGATCACTTGATGATCACCTGTTCTGTTCATTCCCTCTGGGGCACCTAGTATTTGCCACTGTCGGAAGACAGGATACTGGGCTAGATGGAGCTTTGGTCTAACCCAGTATGGCCATTCTTATATGTTCTTAGTGACAAGCGCTTATGCAAACAAAGGCACAAAGATGAACCACTGAAAATCTGGCTTCCACAAAATTCCAGTTAAACTAGAGCAACAGGCCTGAATTCTCATTCGTGTGAAAGACTCTACACCACTCTGGCAGTTTAATGGAGCCTTATAGTGGATGTAAAGTGGCCTTTGTGCAAATGAAAATTGAGCTTGTAATATGGAGACATCAGAATTTGTGCAGGATGTGAAGAGACTCTCTCCTCCTGTGAACAGAATACAATTTTTAGAGACAAACTGCTGTGAAATAGAAAGCCCTCAAAATTCCTGCAAAATTTGTAATATTTTCAAAGAAAGCAAATGATATAGTCCTCTCTTCGGGACTAGGAAAACCACATGATCAGAGTGCTAAACAAACGTGAGGGTCTGTGGTTGGGGGTGTTTTTTTTCTGCGTGTTGTGTGACATCCAATACTTTTTCACTAAAGACCAGATTCTGATACCCTTACTTCATTTGACTTTGCATTAGCCCACGGACTTCAAGAGGATCCCACATACAGTACAATGTACACAATGTAAGTGTATCAAAACCTGGCTCTCAGATAATGGGTGGGGTGTTGAAAAGTCCTTAAGTGACTGATGAGCACAAGTCCCACTAACTTTCAATTAAGTTCTAAATCACGTAGATGCTTTTGAAAGTCCCACCAAATATGATGAATTTTCAGTGACTCTCCCTTACCTCTTTCTTTACCTCTTCTTCATCCTCCAGTGTGAGTGCTGCCAGCTGTTTAGCTCTTTGTTCCATCAAGTTTACGTATCTAATTGGATTGGATAATGCTTCAATCACATCTGGAAATGAAGTAAACATTTCAGGTCAAAGTTCCTTAATCTATGGTTTTAGAGATCCTAAGGTGTTAAGAAGGTGCATAGTTTTTCTTGAAATCTATTATTCAATAACACTTGGACATCAGAAACTTCAGTGAATGTGACTATGCCGTCATACCAAAGGCATTAACTGTGAAACACCATTTATGGAAATATACATTCTGCACATGTTTAGGCCAATATGTAGGTGAGAATTTTAATCCCTATTTCACTACTGTGAGAGGTACTGGGGAAAGAAAAGGTAGGAGAAATACTGCTGCTTTGAATGAGTTTTCTTTTGTCTCTCCTATGTGCTGTGTTTTTAAGTTTATGTCCAAAACACTTGGAGCCTGGGATGAGCACTCTTTGGGGGGAGGTTTAGGATGAGATTTTCTAGCCTGTTCAGCATTGGCCCAACTCTGTTCCCACAGAAGACAATGGTAAAACTCCCAATGCTTACTTAGGACAATGCTGAGCGCTTTTGAACCCTTACGTTCACACTCATATTTTTTTAATTGCACATTTGCAATTTGATCTCACAGCTACTGCATATTGTTTATCTTACAAAATCCCAAGACTCCTGGCTTCTTTAGGGCTACCCAAAGTCCGCTAGGAAATAAGTACTTAGGCCCTGATCCTGGACTGTGATCCATGCAGGCAGCCTGCAGATGGTTACACCAGTTTTATACAGGGGTGTTTCAGGCTCTCTGTCACAAACAGACTGAGAAGGTTCCAAAGACTCGTGTATTTAATTTTACCTTTATAGTTCATAGTTTAATAGTTACCTGCATAAGTATCGGGTACGTAGTCTTTAACGTCTATGTACACAAAGACTGCTGGCAGCATTAAAGGTTGGTTCCGCTCATTCCTCAGACAGATGTAGTGATAGCCTGGAATACAAGAGCAGTCGAGTCCAGAATTGTAAACTGTGTCCAATGTAACTGGATTATTATTCCTTATTTATATAGTGCCCAAGTGACCTAGGCTCTTTAGAGACTGTGGGAAGGCAAATCCTGACTCAGAAAAGTTTACAAGCTACATAGACAACATACAGACAAGGGAGCAGGTGAAAGGTTCAAGACAGCACAATTAAAAAAAAAATCTTTCCCCCTTTATTTTTAAACCATTTACTAATTTCTTGTTCTTCGGCTCATGCCAATTTGCAATTTTATTAGAGTCGGGCGAATTTTTTTTTGGCGAATATCAGTCGAATGAAATAAATTTGGGAATTGTACATGAATTCGCCAAATAGTTTCAGCCAAAAGTAATTTGGGGATACCGAGATGCCATTCGCAAAATGGCTGGAGGAGGAGGAGATGGTGATGGTGCTTTCTTTAGAATGTTTAGCTAAATTCTTCGGGGACTCATTGGGGATGTGGGAGAGCCAAGTTTAATGTTCCCTCTGCCTGACATGGAGCAGGGATTTGAACGTGGGTCTCCCATATGGCACAAAAATGTCAGTGTTAGCTGCCGGTGCTAGCCGCTTTATAACCATCATCGGCTCCTCCTCCTCCTCTGGCTGTTTGGTGAATTGAGCCCTTCAAACATGCTTGAAACAAAATGTTTTGGGTCAGATAAAACTTGGTTTCTTTGACCTTAAATGAATGTTTTCAATGTGCCCAACTTTTTCCGCATTTTTTCATTTCAGTTCAACCTGAACTGAAATGATTTTTCGGAAGTGCCAGCGAACAAAAGAAATCAGTTATTTCCCTAGCTCTAATTTATATAATTCTTTGATCTTTTCTTATTGTTTTCCATTTAGTTTGGATTGATTTGGCTTTGTAACCCTACTTTATTTTCATTTAAAATATTTATAAGTACTTCCGGTCAAGATACTCAGAGAGCTGAAATGTTAATTAAAAGGAATCAGGATGCTGTAATATGCACACAACATGAATACCTAACAATAAAAAACCCAGAGAATACCAGAATAAATGACACAGCAACATATTTAAAAAGACCGGGAATGAATGGGAATAAATCCTTCACAGTGGCTAAAATTAAAATACACCTACAATATGAGCATTTGCAGGCAATTTTGAAAGTGCGGAAGGATGAGCCAAGCTGACTGTCCCGTGAGAGCATGTTTCATGCCCTCAGTGTCTCCACCCACCACAGCTAAAGCTCACTGAGCAGTCGATCTCAGAAACAATGACTGAAAAGGAGAAACGACTGCCAAGCTCCTTCTTTTAAAATGGTTTCATAGCTACAATTAACCAGTAAATGCCATCAACTGCTTTGTATGTTTTAGTTCTGTAGGTTTTCTTGTTTCATTCTAGATTTAACTTTCGGTGATTCAGGTGTTTCTCCTCTCATGGATGATATAAACATATTCAAAATTATTTACTTTTTAAAAAAACAAAATGAAGTTATAGCTAAAGCTGAAATAATGCAGTACCAAATTAGGTGAATTTCTCCATTGGCTGCATACGCTGGGACAGAGCCTCAGTTGGCATAAATCAGCATAGCTGCATTGACGTCAAAAGAATCTTGCTGAGGGTCTGCCAAGTTGCTTCTCTTCACTACAGCAGAGCCATAATCTTACCTGGTCGAATTGCTGAGACAGGCAATATCCGATGTCCGATAAACTTTCCTCCTTCTTCATATACTGCTATCCTCAAACATGCCAGAGAAGGCAGAACCACCTACAGGGACATATTTGGTACAGTTATCAGTTGTCTGCTATAAATAAGAAAAGATCCTTCTGCATACAAGGCAGATAGCAGAGTAGAAAGATAAGGCTCTAGTCAGCAAATAAAGAGTTCTATAGCCAGACTAGGAGTTTGCCATACAACAGGTCAGAATGCATATGACCCGTGTATGAAAATCATTCTGAAATGATCATGCTTCAGTCAAGTAACAGGTGGCAGGACAGTTTCTTTACAGGCGAATAACTCATTGACAGGGAATGGCTAGAACAGCCAAATCTGAAGCTGAGAACTTATCCCTACATTTTCAAAGCAGCACATAGATCTTTAGCATCATGCCTCTAATTAGGCCTGAATGAGGCTTTGAAAATGTAGACATGTACATGTAGAAAATGTAGTGACAATGTATGAGGTGAAATCATGAGTGTCACTCAGAACCAATGTGTCCTAAGGACCCCTTAATTAATTAAGCAGGGCAGTGATAAGCACATTAGTGCTGATAAAACCATCAAATAACAAATCCGTCAATCGGTGTGTTTTAAGAGGGAAAAGTCTGAGCAGGTTGCTAGACCTTAGTTATTTAATTACATAAAGCATCCTGACAGGCTGAATGGATTGAGGCAGTTTAGCATGCTTGCATAATGCCAATAACCATACCTGTCATAAGTGCTTTCCCTTGCATGCCTACACCTAACAGAGCTCTCTGTAGCTTGTGTTTCAGAACACCTATCCTGCCTTCCACAGATCAGGCAAATGATGTTTACTGGACAGGTGAGGCCAGGAGCAAAGATGGGTATGCCTGGGATGCTAACCTTAGCCTCAGTGAAAGGATGGAAAAGTCCTTCAGGGTTGTACTAAGTTCCAAGGGTTGCTACAATGGATGGACCTTGGTGGTGGAGGAAGAAATACATTAAAAGACTATAATAGCAGTAGGGCAGAAAGGAACCTGGACTAACCTCATAAACAAATACGTGATGTGATTTCTTTCGAAAGGGAGATTGCTCTGGCGATATATTAAATAGCGTGTCTTTCTCCAAGAGGACGGGTGATTTGGTAGGAAATCAGTCTGCCTGTGCGAGAAGGATTAATCTTTTCCTTTATGAGGTAAGGATACGTGAAAGAACTAAGCTTGGAAGGCCTGTCCCTTTCGAAAGCACTCGTTGTTCATAGGGATCAATATTCAAGACAGTGGGAAGGCCCAGGTGAGCTAGGGCCTAGATTTACAAAGCGGAATGCAGTCAAACTGGAGCTTTCAGCTCCCAGTCCAACAAGCAGTAATGAGACATTTCCTATCACCCAGCTTATTTCTGGCAACAGACATATCCCCCAATCCTTATCCCTGGCACATGGGGATAGTACGGGGTGTGTGTCATAGAGCTGTTGAACACGACATCATCAAATATTAACCCCATAGGGCTCTCCAGTGGGATGTAGTCTTTTGTCAGATTGGCCATGACCAACAGCTGGTTTTTCTGCAAGCCATCAGACAGAAGGGCTTGTTTGCTTGAGTAGAGTCCTAGAAAGGCAGTCTCTGATTTCATCCTCAAAAGCTCTGTGCCACTGGATCATTCCTGCTGACAAGAACTGGGACCCAGAAGTCAGGACTGTTCGTGTCCCAAAACAAGGCCTACTCGAGACCAAAACTGTGCTTGGCATTGAATGAACATTCTTACATTGCCTTAAATTTTAGTCAAGGCCCAAATCCCACAAGTAACAGACCCGACCTTAATTCCTACCCAACCAAATGGTACTGTAAAACATGTGCACCGTATCTCATTACTGTGTCATAGAGAAGTCATGTGTAGATACACATACACATTGTAAGGCTGGTTACACTGGCCTCTTTTCCTCAGAGCACACTATGCGGAAATCAGTGTGTTATTTAATGGATGTTTATATGACACCTAAAAATATGTAGGCACTTAGTTTCACCTCCCACTAACAACAGATTATATGAGTTAATCTTCAGATCACTCAAAATAACAATCCAGGCCCATTATGAGCCTGGAGGCTCCCACACATTATAGTAAAACTGGTAACAGAAATAAAATATATTAATTAAGGGCCCATGAGAACAACAACAACAAAATGCTAGTGCTGTTTCCAAAATCCAACCCTGGCAGAATGCCAAAGGGAAGGAGGTCTGAGGACAGGCCCTTCAGATGAGGGCGTCCTACTGCAGCTCCTAGAAAGCTGAGTTTCAGGCACTGACTGTGTAAGTGCCTCCATGAACTTTAATTGCTGTCATGGGACGTCAGGAAAAGGCAGGTTCTCTACTTGATCCAAGACTAATTAACTGCATTAGCCAGTAAACTAAAAATAGACAATACTACAGCTCTCTTTAGGAAATTGGCTGCAATCCCATTTACAAAACACTGTGAGATACTAATGCTGCAGGGGCATGATTCTGAAAGATGCTTAGTACCCTCAGCTCCCACTGACTTTGTAGGATTGGGTCCTCTGGGTAAAATTTTCCAAAGCACCTCGGTAACTCAAGAGCCTATGTCCCATTGTAAGTGAATGGGATTTAGGCTCTTGAATCATCTGGTCCCAGATGATTAAAGGTATTTAGGTGTTGCTGTGCTCAGCATTGCAATCTCTAACTGATCTAGGAACCTAAATCTTCTAATCAAAAGGGATTAAGGCACTTAGGCGTCAAAATCCCATTGACAGTCAATAGGATAGGCTCCTAAGTGCCTAAATCACTTTGTAAATGAGACTTTGGCTCCTAAATCAGTTAGGCATTGCAACGCTCAATGATGCAACCCCTAAATACCTTACAAAATCTGGGTTTCATGCACTTTGGAATTTTTTGCCTTGTATGTACAGAGGCCCAATCTTGTGTCAATGAAACTAACAAAGTTACATCAGTTGACTGATTTCAGTAGGAGCTGGCTTGATTTTATTGGAGCAGGGGTGGGCTCTACAGCATAGCTGTTTCAGAGTCTTTTAAATGATCTCTTCAGCAAATGCAATCATTCTGATTTTCTGTACAACACAAAATTAACCTAGTGGAAAGCAATAAAATAATCACTCTGCACTGTAGGGAAATAAACATCACACCAACCTTCTTAAATACTATGGGTTCTTCTTCCCATACAGGATTTACAGCATTGCCTTGAGAGGTCTTTGTCTTTAAAGCTTTTCGTCTTGTATCCACAGGCAGGCCAAACATGTCTACTTCTACATAAGTACCAACTTTTTTATCCGAAAGAAACTGACCTGAAATTATCTAGAAAACAAGATAGGAGTGTTTGAAAATGATTAATAAAGACGGCTTAGTGTGGATTCTGAAATTTCTGGCTGAAATTCAGGCTGAAGAATTCTTCCTAGTGATGGTATAGTTCTCTCCTAAATAAACCCCAAACTCAAAACAAGCATTCTCTAATACTGCAAATACAGGACTATAACATACTGTTATGGTAAATAAAAAGATACGGTAACGCCAGAGCTATGTGTGGTGGTGTTGCAACCAAGGCAATGATAAAAAAGCAGATGCACCTGTTTCGTTTTTGTCTCCTTCCAGCCTTTTTTTTTTTAAATATGAGGTAAATGTAAAGGTTGTTGATGAATTCTCTGAGTAACAAGGAGCGAGGGATATTCAGCCAATGTCAGGGTATCTTAAATAACCTCAGATTTGCCCAAAGTATGCCAGCTCCCATTCATTTGTGAGGCCTCAGCATCTACCATGCCATGACATCACAACTAGCACGATCTCTACTGGACAGTCAGAAGGAGCCAACTTCGGGCAATGGCCACATTACTCTTAGGGACTCAATTCCTGCAAAGGGCTAAGCATCTCCCTAGAGCTACTGAATAACCTCCATTTAGATGTGGTCCCAAAGCTGCCAGCCACCTCTTTCACACACGCTCTCACACCACTGCTTTGCCACAGCTGACTTGTGCCTGCAGCCTCAAGGTGGATATCAGTTTCCTACCACTGAACAAAACAGGATATTTTGTGGGTGGCTTCTGATAGGGGAGATTGTTCAGCTGAATAGGCCTATTAATGAAATAAATTGTTTTTGTAACTCTCGGTACGAAACCATGACTTTTATAACTTCCTGGTCTCATTGCAAAAACCTGTTATTGTATTAATTTACACTAAGCAGCATGCTCTGTTGGTCATCTCAGTGCAAGTTAGCATTTAGCATGGACTAGGGATGTTTTTAAGGTTACACTATTTGAAATACAGCACTTCAAAAACAAAAGCTTAAAAATCTTCAACCTCTTCTTAAATACATCAGTTTCCTGGGAAGTCTTATGTGATGAAAAGAAAAGGGATTGGAAAGGAAATTAAAAACAAAACACAAGCAAATTTACTTAATAGGCAATATTCCTTCAAAATTTGAGCTTCTGTTTTTTTATGAATTTAGATACTGTTGAGTTTAAAAATTAAATATGCCCCACTGCAAATTAAACGTATCTCATTGTCTCAATTTACAGTATGTCTACACTGCAACTGGAGGTGTGACTTCAGCACATGTAGACATGAGTTAGCTTGAATCTAGCTAGAGTGAGTACCAATAGTGTAGCCATGGCAGCACAGACTTCAGCGGGGGCTAGCTGTCCAAGAAAGTGCCCAGGGTTCTGGGTGGACTTGTACGGGCCATGCTGAAGCCTGTGAAGCCGCACCTTCACTGCGGTTGGTCCCTGTGATGGGGTGTACAAACCTCACACTGGAAAGGTACAGATTAAAGAGATGCCCTGGGCCCAGGCAGCTCTGCTCCACCACACCTGCCACACCTGCACTGGCTGGAGGAAGAACTTACAAAGGGGAACACAGTAGCTTAGTGGCACTGGCAGGCAGGCTGTGGAGGTGAGCTGACCTATACTCTGAGCTTGTGAGAAGGAGCACCATGGAGCTCTTGCTTCCTGAGACCTGGCTATGGTGACCTGACCGAGCCAACAGAGAAGGGACCTGTGACTCTCTGAAAGCCAAAGACTTTATCTTTGTGTTTTAGTTCTTTACTTTAGCTGTTGAGAAGAGAGGGGCCTGGTAGGAAGTGACCCAGGGAGGCAGCCGCATAGAATCTCAGGATTTAGCTGCCTGCCACTGGGCCCTGGATCGGAGCCCAGTTGACAGTGTGGGCCTGGGCTTCCCTACCAACCTCTGCAGAGGGGCAACTACAGAGGCCTATTCCTGATGTGGGGAACCTACCTGGGGGGAGAAACCCCTGAAGATAAAAGGGTCTGGGCTGTGAGATCTTGACCCAAGGGGTAGAGTCCTGAGCATCCTGCTTAATCCTGAAGGCTCCCCCATTGTTGGACTCTATACATACCCTGAAAGGGACAGACTTGAATACATGACCTGGCTGGAGGGCAGAGTCACCAGAAAGACAGACAACTGCAGGGTGAAGCAGCAGTAAGAAAGGGGGATGCCCGGAAGACCACCTGCCACATCCCAGCCTGACCACTAGGCAGCGCTGGTGGTGAGCATCTCTGCCACAGTATCCAAGTTAGCTAGATTAAAGCTAGGTTGGGTATGCCTACGCGTGTTGTAATCACACCTCCTGACTGCAGTGCAGACACAGCTAAAGAAGATCTGCCAGGGCTCCAGATAAAACAGAAATATGTCCAGGTTCTAACATAAACAGAATTTTCAACAACTGTGTACATACCTTCACAGACAATGTGTTGGCTACGATTCCATCCACAATACTTTCAGTAAATGGGTCAAAATGTTTGTCTGGTCTTCTCATAAACTCTGGCTTTAGCCTGTAACCACTTTTGCCATTGTATTCATACATCCCCATGTTTATTTGCATAGACAAATCTAAGCAACAAAAATATCATGAGGAATTAACTTCTGGATAAGTATCAAATATACAAAAACCAGTATAACTGCAGTAATATGACTAAGGGCAATGCAAATAAACAGCTATTTCTTGAGCACTGCTGTCACTTAAACCTAGGTTTCAGGAAATATTTCACTGAAAGACTCAAGTTTCACTCACACAGTCCTCAGTGGCCACCATCTTGGATTCTCTCTGTAAGAGGAGGGAATTCTCTAGAGATGTTCCAGAAGATAGAATGATAGAATTATAGAAGATTAGGGTTGGAAGAGACCTCAGGAGGTCATCTAGTCCAATCCCCTCCTCAAAGCAGGACCAACCCCAATTAAATCATCCCAGCCAGGGCTTTGTAAAGCCAGGCCTTAAAAACCTCTAAGGATGGAGATTCCTCTACCTCCCTAGGTAACCCATTCCTGTGTTGTGGGATAAAATTTTCGAAAGAGCCTAAGGCCTAGATTTTAAAGGTACTTAGGTGTTGCTCTGCTTAGCATTAAAGAGCCTAAGTGACTTGGATATGTCTCATTTTCAAAAGTGAGTTAGGCTTCTAAGTCCTGTTGACTTTAGGGTGACCAGATGTCTGCTTTTCGACCACATCACCTGGTCGAAAAGGGATCCTTGCAGCTCTGGTCAGCACCACTGACTGGGCCATTGACTATCTGGTTGGCTCCGCCACACAGCGGGGCTGGCAGGCTCCCTGCTAGCCTCCGCACAGCACAGCTCCTGGGAAGCAGCAGGCATGTCCCCGCTCCGGCTCCTATGCATAGGGGCAGCCAGGGGGCTCCGCACGCTGCCCCCCCAAGTGCCGCCCCTGCAGCCCCCATTGGCAGAACCGAGGCCAATGGGAGCTGTGGGGGCAGTGTCTGCAGATGGGGCAGCGCGCAGAGCTGCCTGGCTGCCCCTCCACATAGGAACCAGAGGGGGGACATGCCGCTGCTTCTGGGAGCTGCTTGAGGAAAGCACCAACTGGAGCCAGTACCCCTGACCCCCTCCTGGGCCCCAACCCCCTGCCCGAGCCCCAGCCCTGATCTCCCTCCCGTCCTCCAAACCTTTCAATCCCAGCCTGGAGCACCCTCTTGCACTCCAAACCCCTCATCCCGAGCCCCACCCCAGAGCCTGCACCCCCAGCCGGAGCCCTTACTCTCCCCCCACACACACTCCAACCCCCTGCCCCAGCCCTGATCCCCCTCCTGCCCTGTGAACCCCTTGGTCCCAGCCTGAAGCACCCTCCTACATGCCATACCCTTCATCTCCAGCCCCACATCGGAGCCTGCATCCCCAGCCGGAGTCCTCATCCGCCCCACACCCCAACCGCCTGCCCCAGCCCGGAGCCCCCTCCAGTACCCTGAACCCCTCATTTCTGTCCCCACCCCGGAGCTCACACCCCTAGATGGAGCCCTCACCCCATCCCATACCCCAGCCCCCTGAACCAGCCAGGTGAAAATGAGCAAGTGAGGGTGGAGAGAGTGAGCGATGGGGGGGTGGGAATTGAGTGAGTGTGGGGTGGGGCCTCGGAGAAGGGGTGGGGCAAGGGTGTTCGGTTTTGTGGGAGAAGAAAGTTGGCAACCCTAGCTGACTTTCAATGAAACATAGGCACCTATATGTACAATTTTCCTTTTGTGCATGCACATGCAGGTGTTTGTGGGAGCAGCAAAAATGCATTTCACGGGATGCTCCCGTTGGACCCGCCCATGAAAATCTGGCCTCGTCATTTTGTACAGTGCCAAGAACATTTGAATCCAGGTGTTACTGCAATAAAATGATTAATAATAATTATTTCTGGAGACTGGCGGAAAGTTAGTTATATTTTCAGTTCATTACGCAATATAAAGGGGCTGCTATGAACAAGCGAATATTTGCAGAACTGCATATGAGAAACTGCAATATGTAGTGGTTGGTAAATGATGGCTCTTTAAGATGACCACTGTGCGCATGCTGCACTACGGTATAATATGCTAATGAATTTGAGAATAACTTGGGCTCATGAACAAACAGCTTCGTAGAACTGGTCAATAGCCCAACGTCTTTTGTTGAACAAAACAACTCTCTTGGCTCCCAATAACAGAACCTATTGAAAAAGTGGCACGTACAGCTCACTAAACCAAGAAAAAGCTGAGACTTACCTACAGTTTGGAAGTTAAGAGCAACCAACTGACAGCCAGCATTCCAGAAGACTTGCGGCATGTAGTTTGAGGAATCTACACGTGTTCCCTTTGGATAAATCCGGCTAAGCTGCCTTTTGTTATATCTAGATGGTGAGTGGTTAAGAGACAGTGCATTTGGCAAAATAATTATATATACTTTCAGTCATTAAATGTAGATGCTCTTTATAGAACAATAGTAGGTTGCTTAGTGGAGTTCTCCAAACATACTACATTCACAGATTCACGTTCTTGGGAGGGCGGCTGGTCTATATAAATACTCAGGTGTCTAAGTTGAGGTTATAAAATGATACGTTACATACTTTCCTTTTGTTCCTGTGAGGGCTAACAGACTCTAAAGAAGCAGGGGAAAAGCAAGGGCAAGTGTGGATCTGAGAAGACAATATATGTGTAACTTCAGTTACACAGTAAATAATCTAATATGGTCCTAAATTGCCTCTACAGAAACTAGCCAGCAGTAACAATCCTTCTAGAGCTGGACTGAGGAGAGCCCAGTTAAGAAGTAACTGCTCTCCTCACACGAGTTTCAGATTTAGCCTCCACATAGAGAAAGCAATGGTGAGTAAACTGATGTAGCGAGCCTGAGCGTCAAATGGCCACTCCAAAAATTTTAGATATGGGAATACATTGCAGTCTAGATGTAGAAGTTGCTCTCAGTTAATGTTCCGTAAGGCCATATTGTACCTGGATCCATTTTTGTAAATTGTAGGCTTCAAAGGAGACAATGACATACACTGAGAGCCATTAAACCGAAAAGCACTCCCCTTTAGTTATTTTTCTACAAAAAACAAATCAGTGCAGCTAGCTCCTGGTAGTCAGGAAAGAATCAGCTGTGACCAGGAATCAAAATCGGATCTCCCATAAGACTATGCAAAGTACTGAGTTACCCAGATGATCTCTCTCTGACATATTTTCCTTTGTTTTAATTTATCTTCTATCATTTTATATAACAAATTACCTTTGCTTTGTTTTCCCACATGCTCACTAATGATTTGACTCACTCTTCCTCCCCAGACCTTCAATCTGTATTTTAAGATGATCCCTTTTGCCCCTAATCCACATCACAAGAATTCACTCTAAAACTCAATGAGGTCTCATGAGAGGCCAGCTCTCTTTGCTAATGGAAGAGGTAATCGAGCTAACAAAGTTAGGCTAGGTTCCAAATTTCCCAAACTCATGTCTCCAAAGCCCAATGAAGAACCATAACGGCTCTTACTCAGATTTACAAAAGCACATGGTGTATCTTTCTGAATGCCAAGGATACTCCACGAACTCCACTGGAGACTTTGTGAGTTGCTCAAGCCCTTTGGTTTCCACAAAGGAAGACATTTCAAAACTCCTGTTGCGTTCTGTAATTCAAAGGGGGAAAACAGTGATAGATTAGATAAAACATTGTTGTCTGCCAGATTGCTGTAGCCATGTTGGTCCCAGGATATTGTAAGACAAGGTGGGTGAGGTAATATATTTTATTGGATCATCCTCTCGTGGTGAAAGAGACAAACTTTCAAGCTGACTTACAGTAGAGCTGCAAATTAATGGGTTCATCGCAGTGCCTATATTCCATCTGCTCTTCATAGACTTACCTATTTCACACCACCGTTCATATCATCAAATGATTTCCAACATTTCCCTTTTCCATTCTTATAAAATATATTTAAAATTAAAATGCTTGACAAAGCCACACGTTTGGGGAAATTAAAACCACAAACAAAAGGAAAACAAAACAAAAGTTTCTGAGCCCAGGAGCCTCCAGCATTTGAAAACATTCATTAGGGTTAGACACAGCACTAACCCCACTTTAAGAGCAGCAAATCCCATGTAGAACTAGGGGGGTGACTGATCTCATGAAAGGGGAAGGGGGAGTGCTGAGGTAAAATGCAAGCACACACTGGAGTGCAAACATTGTCCAGTTCTCTCCTGCTTACTGCAGGCCTCTGCTAGCTTTTCCAGTATCTCTACTGGCAGCATCCAAGCCGAGGATGGAAAATGTCGAAGATGCCAGTCAGAAGTACAGTGTCCTGTCAACTGTCTTAATCCCCCATTTTCTTGCTGTTCAGGATTAATAAAAAATAAGCACAAGCTGGGCAGCAGTGGCAGTCATGCTATTCCCACAGCTATGATTTTCCACGACATGAAAAGAAGAGCGCCGACCTTGTTTACTGAGGTACAGTAACGGTGTTTCATTCTAGGCAGAGTGCAGCATTAGTAAATTGTGCACCAATCTTATCAAGGACTGGGAAGATTATGCAAAAAGATAATGATGCCAAAACACAGGCAGCACAAAACTCTGGGACTAAATCAAAATACATTGTGGCTGAAGAAATGCTGCTAGAATTTGGGTAGTAAATTAGGGCCAAACCTTTGGATTAACACCTGGAACAATATACCAAAGGTCATGGTGAGTCTGGTAATTTTAAAATCAACATTGGAATTTTTTTTTTAAGATCTGCTCTAGGAATTATTTTGGGGGAGCTATTTAGCCTGTCAGACTAGATGATCGCAATGGTCCCTTCTGGCCTTGGGATCTATGAAAGCTTTTAAAAGCCCCCAGAGATTGAGATAATTTTAGTTAACCAGGCATCTCATGAGGCAATTAGTTGGGATGGACACGTGAGCTGCTTAAAAGTTAACACATTTCTCTACTCGGCTTCTGCAATGATGCACTTTTAAACATCCCTAACCGTCAAACCAATACATTTGTTAATATATTTGGTACACTCATGACAGACTATGGCCCAGATTTACAAAGGTATTTATGTATCAAAAATTGCAGATAGCCATCAAGAGGGATTTTCAGAAGTGCCTAAGTGAGTTAGGTGCCAAACTCCCTTGAAAGTCAATGGGAGTTCTGTGCCTAACCTGCTTAAGCCCTTTTTGAAAATCCCACTTGATGCCTATCTGCAACTTTTGGCACCTAAATCTAGCTCTATGTATTTATAGCAAAAAAAAGTTCAGGTTATAAGGTTCCAAGGTGTTTTCCTTGGATAAAAGCATGAGACAATTGTTTTCGAATGGGCACATGCAATTCTTTTTCATTCTCTCAACTCAAATAAGACTGAAAAAAACTGTGTTCACACTTTAAAAAAGAATCACCTTGATACACAAACCGGGGACAGTTTCACTTTGAAAAAATGAATGTTTTGTAAAGACAGGAGTGTATGAAAACAAGGTTTAAATAAGGAAACTGTTTCCACACCTTAGCCACCACAGCATAATAGCGAGCACTAGAATAAAGAGCTGTCAGGAATAAAAAGGACTAGACTTCTTTGCACAGCGCTTGCTTATCCTATGGAGTTCGCTACCGCAGCAGCCCAGGGTACAATTGCTGTCAGCTGGGTGTTAAAAGTGAGGGAAATGTCATGAAGAAGGGTATGATTTTGGCATAGCCACTGTTAGTAAATTTCACAGCAGAGGTTTGGGGAAAAATGGTAAGTCATGGAAAGGTCACCAAAGAATGCAGTACACAACAGTATAGTACGAGTGGTGAAAGCTGAAGCCCAGAGCATGGGGTTTGGAGAGCAAGTCCACCCTGGATTCATTCTATTCCACAAGGCTGTATCCAGATCCCCACTGCCGGTGTTCTGACCTGGCACATGGGGTTGCTGTGCCACTCCGGTTTGGCCCATCTGCTCCTCCTTCTTCTGAGGGGTGGATGGGACAAATCCAAGTGATGTAGCCTAGCTCAACGACACTAGGTTTCGGGCCCAATCAGATGTGGTCTTACAGCCATTGCCAAGACTCCAAGGAGTTTAACCAAATTCACCATTTGCGTGACCACCATGACAAATCTGTAGCCCAAGTTATGACCCATTGTGTAATGGGATATGACAAATCTTATGTTGCTACATTCCTACAGCCACAGTAAGGAAATGGCTGATAAAGAAAGTTTGCTTATGAATCAAATAGGGACATGGGAACTGCCATCCAGGATCATCCCAGTACACTCTCTAACCCAGTAGCCTGTCTCCTACAGTAGGCGTGCCAGATGCTCCAGAGGAAGGAGTAAATAATCCTGTAATGGAATAACCTGTCCATATAAGAAACTTCTTCCCAACTCCAGGAAGTTCGAGGCTGGATCATGCTCTGAAGCAAGAGAGCTTATATCCCTCCTAAACTGTTTGCCCAATATAGTTGTGGATGGTCTCACTTTCCATATAAGTATCTAGTCCCTCTTCAAAAAAAAGTTCCTGGTGTCACTGGTACATTGTGGCAACGAGTTCCATACAGACCATGAGGTACCCAGCCACCAGGAAATGCTGGGCATAGTAGAAAGAACTTTCTTCCTGAACATTTCAGCCATCAGCTCATGCACAGGAGAAATGCATGAGCCTGACTAAAAAGCTTGTCCCAGTAACCCAGTAAGGGTGAGATTCTATGCTATCCCTCTAAGGCAGAGGCGCTCAACCCATGGCCCAATCAGCACACAACTGAGGCCCAGGTGACATCCTCAGGGCCATACAGATAATATATATATTGTGTGAATGTGGCCCACAATGGTAGATAGGTTGAGAACCACTGCTCTACGGGTAAGTCAACACCACACAAAAAAAGACCTGGGGCAGCAAGTATGAGAGCCCGAGTCAGTTGATCAAGGCGAAAGGGCTAAAAAGAGCAGGGTAGACGTTTGGGTTTGGATGAAACCCAGCGAGGAGGGAGGTGTCTCGGAGCCTGGGCTCCAGCCCAAGTGGGAATGTCTCTACACTGCAATTTTTAGCCCTGTAGTGCGAGTCCCAGGAGCCAGGGTCCATTGATCTCGGCTCTGAGACTCACTGCCATGGGCTTTTTTCAGCTGTGTAAATATACTCTGAGAAGCAAAGCACAGAACTTACTGCACAAAAGTAGGAGGCTTCTGGTGGCTTTAAGCCACCTTTGCATACAGTTGATTTTAGAAAGTTGCAGGGACTGGAGAAGCCCCCGGTGTAACTTAGGTCAGCCTCAGAATCTCTCCAAGTTACAGTGACCTGCAATTGCGGGCTAGAATCTTTACAGCGCTATGTGCTACGGCCCTGTCCCCATTCCTACCCCCTGGGCTGATCCAGAGTTTTTAGGGATCCTTTACACTGCCCCAGACCTCTTACCTGCCATAAAACAGTCACAGCAGGAGGGGAGAGACAGCCTAAGCTCATGGCTTGATTGGGCTAAATGCATAGAGCTGGTTGCAATTTGCATATTCAACTTAAAAAGGAACATCTCCCTTTTCTTTTGTGTCTGTTACTCCCTCAAGTGATACTTGTGCAGATCCTTTCTACGCAGCGGAATAGCCTCCTGAAATGGAAAACCCAGGTCAAAACCCCTGTGGCTTAAGTAAGTTCTCCTTTAAATTTTTGCCCCAAATTAGTCTTGCACACGAGGCACAGACCCCTCAGAAAAAAAGCCTTTCATTCCAGCAAATTCTAAGCCATGTCGCTTGCACAGAAGTGCCTACACTATTGAGGGCTGATTCCCCTCCACCAAATGCCTTGGCACCTCTCTCGAAACGAAGCAAGTAGTGAGTGTGTGTGTCACATCTGAATGAGCTCTGGTGGCCTCACAAAGCTCTCAGAGGCAAAGTACAAGCCAGAGGCACAGTGGAGGGCAATTGACCCACGTTGGTCTTAGAAGTAACTTTGTTGCAGTCACCCGTGGATTGAAGAGGCGCAGAGTCGGCCTGGTCTGCTTTGTAAAATCAGAACAAGAAGCCAAGTGGAAGCAGGCAAAAACTGAACAAGAGCTTTCCCTGCTCCTGCGGAGAGATAATAGAGGTAGGTGAAAACTCTCCCTGTTCTTAGAGGGAGCCAGAAGGCGAATTCCACCCCCACAGGTGAAGGAGCTGTATTCGCGCGCACAGCACGGGGGGAGAGAGAGCTGCTGGCAGAGGAGCAGCAAAACCAGATGGTGGAAATTATTCTCAGGACAGTTTTATAGGCGCAAAGGCTACAGTGCACCAGGATCACTGCAGGTTCCATCAGGTGTTAAATCTTCACTGAGTCCTCACTCCTTTTGCAGCACCGTTGCCTGCTGCCTCACCACACCCCTTGTTTTCTTTCCTCACTTTAATCTTTATGGGGTTTTTCCCATGCTGCCCAAGGCCACCCCCTTCTCTTTGTTCAAATCCCTCCTTAGCACCCACTGCTTTGGTGAAGGCTAACAACGCTAATGCAGCTGGCTGAGAAACGCTCCTACGCACCTGCCATATACACCAAAACAAAGCCTGGCTGTACTCAGGGTAGGGACCGTCCTACAAGCTGGATTGTTTCAGCTCCATGCTCCTTGCTGCTGGGATGGGTGCTTTGTGCATTGTTCAGCAGCAAGCTACTGGAACTCACTGAGGTCTTCTTCCAACACCCTCTTTCTTTAGGAACTACTAGCC